GATAGCTCTATTTGTGTAAAAAAAAAAGATAAAAATTTCAAATAGGTACAATGTTGCATGACCACACAATTTTCATTCAAAGTGCGACAGAGCTAAAAAGCTGAAAATTGGCCTGGGCAGGAAGGGGGTATAAGTGCCCAATAGGCAAGTGGTTAACCAAGCTTACACTGAAAATTGATATAAACCTCATAACAGTTTACTATAATTTGTGTGTGTCTACTTTCTGGTGATAATTTATTCTGGTCAAAAGAATCATGTGGTGTCAGAAGGGGTTGGACTTTCAGAAAGGGGTACAGAACACCAGGGAGCCTGAAAATAACTCAGCAATCCCTAAGCGGGTACTGCTACAGAGGTCATGAACAGAGGTAAGTTTGTTGTAGACAGAGCGGGCATTCCACAAAGCACAAGGGAGGCAGGTTTTGAGAAGAAGATGATTGGAAATTAATTTGTGTGTATTGTGGCTGCTGCCAGAGTTTACAGGGTGATGGGTACGTTGGGTACAGTTAAATAAGGGAGGCCCGGGGAGCGTGGCCAGCAGCAGAGATGTGACTAGTTCTAATTAGGGAGCTCACGTGACACCGCTTACTTTCTTTCTGATCCTGAGGACACAGCAGGACCGCAAACCTCTCTGTTCCAGGGAATCCTGGCTGCTGCTGCCACCTTCAATATGGTGAAAATCAGACACAGCTCCTCCAAACCCCCTGGGGATCGCTCCCCACAGCCTTCCCCAGGCTGCTCTAAAGATGGCGGCGGACCGGCGGCTCCATGTGCTCTCCCACAGCAGGAGAAGCACAAAAAGATGTGGGTGAGTGAGTGATCTCCTGGGGTTTCCCATACCTCTTCCTCAGCCTTTCGGAACTGGGCGGACAGTTATGGGTGGGTTGATGTTTGACTCTGGATGCATCCTGATCAGAGAAGTTACTCTTGTCACTCCGAGTCCTATGGAACCCTTTCTAGACTTGATATGGTTTTTAGTACTCTTGCATACCTCCAACAGGTTAAAACAATCCATTACCTACCTACAGCTATCTTGATTCATTCCCATTGGAGCTTCAGCTCCAGACGGCTGATACTCTGGGACTGCGCAGATGGCAGATGGGTCCTTTTTGGCTCTTGGACCCTATGGTACTTTAAATATGTTGTGATGATATGAACAATTATTGGCAGGAACAGGGGCGGACTGACAACTCATGGGGCCACCGGGCAATAGGGAATCATGGGGCCCCTGTGTCCTTGCCCATACTCAAAAAAGCATATGAAAAAGGTACCAGGGGCATCTCATGGGGCCCCCTACTGACCCCGGGCCCTCGGTAAGTGCCCGAGTTTCCAAATGGTCAGTCTGCCCCTGGGCAGGAAGCAGATCTGACGACACCCTTGGGCCTCCAATGGGATGGTTTTACGACTGTCATGAGGGGCTCCTATATGACTGGGGTAGGGGCACTACAGAAAGCCAATGCATCCACTTTGACGGAGCTATCCCAAAAAGTAACAGACCTGGAGAACCAATATGTTGCCCATACCGCCTCTCATACCTATCTTTAATGGGGGAGGAGGCTCAGAGAGCAGCTTATAATATTGCCCTAATTGACAGGACCCAGAAGAAGTTGCTTTACCAAGCACAACATGTCAGGGATCGTTCCCTCGCCGATGCACATCTATGTGCTGATTCCCTGTCAGCCGCGGCGGTGCGAGTGTGCATGAGCGGGAGTGTGCGGTTACGTGCATGCGCATTGGCGTGCACATCATCGCAAGGCGGGCTATTTAAATCACCAACACAGATTAGTCTATGCCTTCTGGTCTACAACATCCTGTACTTCATAACCTGATTCTGTTGCCTGTATCTTATCTGACCCTGACTAAGAAAGAACTCCGCCTGCACCGACCTGGCTTATCCCTGACTATCCTCTTGCCTGCTCCCTTGTACCTAATCTGCCCAATTGACCCTGACCTGGCTTGTCTGACACTGCTGCACCTACGTTCCTGTATCTGCACCTGGCCCATATCCTGCACCTACGTTCCTGCATCTGCACCTGGCCTGTATCCTGGTTACCACCATACCTACCTGCTGCTGCTGCACCTACATTCCTGCATCTGCACCTGGCCTGTATCCTGGTTGCTGCCATACCGACCTGCTGCACCTAAGCTCCTGCATCCGCACCTGGCCTGTATCCTGGTTACTGCCATACCTTCCTGCTGTTGCACCTATGCACCTGCATCCGCACCTGGCCTGCATTCGGATCTTCTGGGTCATCACCTGCCTACAGTCATCTCAAGATCCACCAGGCACTTGTGCCACTCCTGGCTCGGCGCCCTCTGTCCCCACTATCAGGAGCTCCAAGTGGGAATAGTAAGAGGACGCCTCCTCTCTACGTCAGGCTCCCCAACCAGGTATGCGACACAACATATCTTTGATTCAGGAGATAAAAATGGACGTCTACTTGCCTTTTTGGATAGACCTATACACGAACCCCTTGCTTTTCCCAGGATTTTGGACAGCGGTGGTACCCTTCAGACCTCCACTGACCTATTTCTTAACGCATTTTTACAGTTTTATGAAGACCTATATACTTCTAAGGCCTCCTATGGTTCAGCTGACCTCATGGGATATCTCAGTGGCATCTGGCTTCCTACTCTTTCTGTGGAGGATAGGCTGTCTTTGGATAGTCCAATTACCCCTGCAGAGATAGATAAAACATTGGGCCTCTCTGCTAAATATAAAACTCCAGGTATGGATGGCCTCTCTATTGAATGGTACTTGGCCCATAGGGAGTATCTTGTACCTCGATTAACTGCTCTTCAGTCATTACGAAGCATGACATTCTACCCCCTTTATTGCATAGGGCTTTAATAGTGTTATTCTCTAAACCTCTTAAAGATTTGAACCTTTTTGAATCATAACGGCCAATATCTTTAATTAATACAGACCTCAAAATTCTCTCCAAAATTCTGGCTCTACGCCCTAATGCTGTTATAGCCTTGTAAAGTCTGACCAAATGGGGTAATCTCCGTAGACTCTTTACAAATCTTCAGATGCCGACTGCCACAGATTCCCGTAGGGCACTGATATCACTGGATACTCATAAGGCGTATGACTCTATAGAATGGCCCTATCTATTCTTGGTTCTACAGAAATATGGTTTTGTGAAAGGGTTTCTTGGATGGATACGTATCCTGTATAACCAACCAGTAGCTCGTATCAACGTTATTGGTCTAATCTCTGAATCCTTTCCAATATGTCGGGGCACAAGGCAGGGGTGCCCACTTTCACCCCTGCTATTTGCACTCACTATAGAACCATTGGGGGAACTCCTCCAGCTTCCTCTCTGGTTCGGGAATTCCAATTGGTACTCTGGAAGAATGGGTTTCACTTTATGCCAATGACATGTTATTGTATATCTGGGACCCTCAGACCACTGCACTGAATGTCCTTTCCTAAACTTAACAATTTGGGCAATACTCAGGATTTAAAGTCAACTGGTCTAAGTCCAATATGTTCCTCATAGACGAGATACCCTCCTTTAGTTTGCCCCCTGGTTGCCCACTACAACTCGCATCTAAATTTCAATATCTAGGAATAGAGGTTGAACTTCCTCTGGCTACGTTTTATGAGAATAGTATAGTACTTTGTATCTCCTCCTTCCGTACCAAGGTCTCCCAATGGGATTAAGCTTCCCTTGTCCTTATTGGGCAAGGTAAACCTATTAAAGATGGTGTATGTTCATACATTTTTATATATTCTAGCCAACTCACCTGTCATCATCCCAAAAAAAGTTTTTTCAGGAAATGTATTCCATTTTTACGTCCTTCTAAACCTCCCAGGGTATCCTTGACCATTTTACAACTCTTACTAATAAAGGGGGGATTAGCTCTTCCTAACTTATTTTTATATTACTATGCTGCTCAACTCATATGTACACTGGTGGTTGTTTCCGCAACTGAACAATGCTGCTACTGCAACGGAGGCTGCTATAGTCTCCTCCTATGAAACCCTATCCAACTTGTTATTTAGACAATCCTTACATGCTACTGAGGTTACTTCTATTCTTAATGTGTTCCTCTGTATTTATAAGCAGTCTTCTATCTCCTTAGGTGAACAAGACAATATTTGTTCCCCTAAGCAGCCATTGTGGTATAATCCACGCTTACCACATTTTGCCTCGCTTACTTGTGGCCAGTTATGGGCAAGATGAGGGCTAACTTATCTACACCAACTGTACGAGGGAGGCACATTCAAATCTTTTGCACAAATGCACATTCCAATGCATTGCAGAGGCACAGCTTGGCCTTTGTAATGTTCGTAATTTTGTAATGGTTGGGAGATATCCCTGGTTTCACCCCAAAAACTGTCAGGAGTTGTTTAATTCACACTCAGGGACAGTGATTTCAGCTAAAGATAAGTTTATTCAGTTCCATTATCTACATGGAATGTATTTCACCCCAAGCCCATTTGTTTAAAATGTGTAAGAGAGATACTCCTACCTGTCAAATGTGAACGTGAGCCTGGTGACTTTCTACACATGATGTAGGAGCTGTAGGAAGATACGACCCTTTTGGTCACAGGTGACGGCTTTTATTGCTGACATCTTTTACCTAAATGATGTCTGTTGGAGATATTTGAAGATTTAGAAATGTCTGCCATTTCCAAACACTTCTGTTGTCTTCTGCTTTATTATGCTCTTAAGACAGATGTACCGTATTTTTCGCTCCATAAGACGCGCCTAGGTTTTAGAGGAGAAAAACAAGAAAAAAAAATATTCTGAACCAATGGACTGCAGACATAGTACAGGAGATGACCAGAGACTGCGGACACAGTACAGGAGATGACCAGAGACTGCGGACACAGTACAGGAGATGACCAGAGACTGCGAACATAGTACAGGAGATGACCAGAGACTGCGGACACAGTACAGGAGATGACCAGAGACTGCGGACATAGTACAGGAGATGACCAGAGACTGCGGACACAGTACAGGAGATGACCAGAGAATGCGGACACAGTACAGGAGATGACCAGAGAATGCAGACACAGTACAGGAGATGACCAGAGAATGCAGACACAGTACAGGAGATGACCAGAGGCTGCAGATAGTACGGGGGATGACCAAGAGACTGCGGACAGTACAGGGGATGACCAGAGGCTGCGGACAGTACGGGGGATGACCAAGAGACTGCAGACAGTACAGGGGATGACCAAGAGACTGCAGACAGTACAGGGGATGACCAAGAGACTGCAGACAGTACAGGGGATGACCAAGAGACTGCAGACAGTACAGGGGATGACCAAGAGACTGCAGACCGTACAGGGGATGACCAAGGGACTGCAGACAGTACAGGGGATGACCAAGAGACTGCAGACAGTACAGGGGATGACCAGAAACTGCAGACAGTACAGGGGATGACCAGAAACTGCAGACAGTACAGGGGATGACCAAGAGACTGCAGACAGTACAGGGATGACCAAGAGACTGCAGACAGTACAGGAGATGACCAGAGACTGTGGACCTTTGGGAGGGAGGGGGAGCGGGTACCTGAATTTGACAGGTACCTACTCCCACTTCCGCGGAGTTGTCCTCCTTTTAGTGTGGGCACCCGGCTGTGACAGCTGGGTGCCCACTGCGCATGCGCGAGAAGCGCTGAGCTTTGTAAATGGCCCGGCGTCTTCGGGGACACATGAAAGGTCTCAGAAGATGCCGGGCCATTCACAAAGCGCAGCGTTTCTCGCGCATGCACAGTGGGCACACGGCTGTCACAGATGCTGGTGCGGGAAGACTGTACAGCACTGGACCGAGGAACAGGTAAGGTCCTGCTGCAGAGAAGAGCTGAGCGGCCGGCCCGGTATTCTGACATGGTGTCTGCGGTGGAAATACCGGACCAGCCGCTCCATATTCGCTCCATAAGACGCACTCCCCTTTTCTGGGGGGAAAAAAGTGCGTCTTATGGAGCGAAAAATATGGTACCTAATTGGACCCGTTTTTCAGACACTACATATTGGGTTATGGAAGAAGGTTATTAATCACACCTTACCTTTGTATAAATTGACGTATCAAGCTAGAGGATGTCCCAGAAAGTTTTATAAACTCTGGTGCCCTTGGCTTTATACCCAGAACACCAATGATTCTTTATTACCTCTGATACCCGACCCCATATAAAGAATTTTTTTGTTATGTTATTGACCTAATGTTTATCCATATCTCAGCACTGGGGCATTTATATTTCTCGAATGCCACCTTGACCAATGACCTGCTCCTCTTCTCAGGTATAGGTAAATGAACTTTTTTCCTTTATTCTACTATATTGGGGTAAATGCCGAGTTTTTTTTTTTTTCTTGTTTTTTTTTTGTATTTCTCTTTTTTTCTTTATTGTGCAGGATACATCTGCCAATTGGTTGGTTCTGAGTTATATAAAACCATGAGAAAATGGCTCCTTATGTTTTTATACCTGTACTTGGTGTGCATTAGATACTACTGTCATGGCTGTAACATTTATAATGGGGTATGTGACCCTTTATTTCATTTGTACTGTTGGAGATTGTATCCATCTTATGATGGTATCCCTGCTATATATGTACACTGACCGCTTGATTATTGCCATGTATACCTGATGTGCCTCTTATTTAAAAAAGGGAGGCCCAGAGTTTGTGGATATATCTTCGGAGGCTAGGAGACGCAGAAGGCTGAGGTAGGTAATATGAGAGTGTGATTTATATAAGGGTACATGCCCCAGCATCCTGGGGGTTTTGTTAGCATGTGGTATTAGAATTAGGAGGAGATGATGATTGCAGTGATAAGGGGAGGACAGAAGTGAAAGTGATATACATACAGATTGTGGGGTGGAGAAGAGGGGTGATGGAAACAGAGTTTAAGGAGAGAGGAAACTGTGAAAAGGAGAGGTAGAGAGTGCATGTTACTGAGAGGGAGAGCTGAATGGGGAATCAAGGTCACCTGCAGTCTGGTGTTTTGCAAAGTCGCTTGCTGTAGATTTTCGCTTCAAGCAATTGCTGAAGTGCAAGAGCGGAAATGCCACTTAATTAACCACTTGCCTATCAGGCACTTTTACCCCCTTCGTGCTCAGGCCAATTTTCAGCTTTCAGCACTGTTGCACTTTGAATGAAGTGTGCAGTCATGCAACACTGTACCCCTATGAAATTTTTATCATATTTTCACACAAATAGAGCTTTTGTTTTGTGGTATTTAATCTCCACTGGATGTTTTTTTTTTTGTACAATAAACAAAAAAATAAAAGCAAAAAAAAATGTTTTTCTTAGTTTCTTAGTTTATAAAATTTTTCAAACAGGTAATTTTTCTTCTTCACTAAGAATGGTGGGCATTGATGAGGAGGCACTGATGATGCTGCACTGATATGCAGCAATAATGGGTACTGATAGGCAGCATTGAGGGAAAGCACTGATGGGTGTTGCTGATGGACCACACTGACTGAGGGCACTAACTGACGGCACTGCTGGGCGGCACTGATGGATGGCACTGATGGGCACAACTCCTGGGCAGCACTGATGAGGGGCACTGATGGGCAATAATGGATGGCACTGCTGGGCACAGATAGGCACTGGAGGGTGGCACTGGTGGGTGGCACTGCAGGGCACTGATCATCAGGGCAAGGATCATCATTGCCCTGATGATCAGTGCTGATCTGCTCTGTGACACAGCTGGTTATATCGACAGTACTTTCCTCACCCTGTGACAGGGGGCATTCTGGGAGGACGCACCCTATGGACACAGTTGATCATGTGATGTGGTAAAAGGCCAATCACAGCAGATCACCGGGTTAATACAGTTTCCGGTTATCGGCTGCACTTTCCTCGCGCTGTCACAGTGTGAGGAAAGTACTGCTGATAACCAGCAATTGTCAGAGAACAGATCGGCACTGATCATCAGGGCACTGCACAAGCAGTGCCACCCACCTGTGCCCAGTGCCACTCACCTGTTCCCATCTGTGCCCAGCAGTGCCACCCACCAGTGCCCAGCCATGCTCCCTATCAGTGCTGCCCAGCAGGGCCGCCCATCAGGGCTGCCAGTCAGTGCCCAGCAGTGCTGCCAGATAGTGCGCCAGTCAGTGCTGGCCATCAGTGCCGCCTATCAGTGCCCATCATTGCTGCATATGAATGCAGCAGCATCAGTGCCACCTCATCAGTGCCCATCAGTGCTGCCTATCCATGCCCATCAGTGCTGTCTATCAGTGCAGCCTCATCAATGCACATCAGTGAAGGAGAAAAATTTCCTGTTTGCAAAATTTTATAATAGAAATAAAGAAAAACTTTTTTCACATTTTTTACTCTTTGTTTAGAGCACAAAAAATAAAACACCAGCGGTGATTAAATACCACCAAAAGAAAGCTCTATTTCTGTAAAAAAAATATAAAAATGTCATATGGGTACAGTGTTGCATGCCCGCGCAATTGCCATTCAAATTGCGACAGTGCTGAAAGTTGAAAATTGGCCTGAGCAAATAGGTAAGTGGTTAAAGCAGAGTTCCACTCACTCTGTAAAAAAAAAAAAAAAAAATCAGCAGCTACAAACCTGTAGCTGCTGACTTTTAAAAAACAGCCACTCACTTGTCCCACAATCCAGCGTTGCCCCCACTGCAGCCTGTTTCACCGGCCATCCTGTATTCCAGGCGCCGGCATCTTCAGTGTGGGCACCCGGATGTGACTGATTGCGGCTTCACAGCCATGTGCCCACTGCGCATGCGCGAGTAGCGCTGTGCTTCCTGAATGGCCCCATTGTCCTCTGGGACCTGTCACGTGTCCCACAAGACTTCAGGGAGGGAGGGTAGGAGGACAACTGCTTCCGATCGCCTAGGTGATCGCAGCGGAAGTGGGAGCGGGTACCTGACAAATTCGGGTACCCGTTCCCCCTTGCTCCCCAAAAGGTGCCAATCCTTAATGGGGAGCAGGGGACCAATCTTTAAAGCGGAACTTCCGCTTTTGGGTTGATGTGAAGCAGCAGTAACATTGATGCAAAATTTTCCTGTTAAGGGTGAGAAGAGATGTTCAGGTGAGCAAGAGCAGAGTGTCACTTAACTAACAAACCTCACTTTAATGGAAGAAGCCCAACATGTGCCACCATAGCAGTTCATGTTTTCTGCCCGAGGATGATATATCTCCAAAGATATGTCCAGTTAATGATTGTCAGGTCTGCTTTCTGAGGAAGGTGAAGATGAAGAAGAGTCCTATTTAGCCAAATGTGGTTCAACCTATAGCTCCACAGCTAACCGGTAAGAGGAGCTGAATATACTTAAAGGTCTATATGGCCCACCTAATGTGCTTTATCCTGGGGCAGAGGAATTGAGATACTGAGAGTCCACCAAGATACTACAGAGTAGAGGGAATTTTTGCTGCTATTTTTGAGTAAATATACGTGCAATATTCTATCCTGTAGATGGCTGATCCAATAAAATTGTCAAGAAATTTATGGAGTGGAAGTCTATCTATAAGTTGCAATTGATGGGTTGGCAAGTGTTTGGGTGCAGCTAAAGGGCAAATCACATGTAGGAAGTCTAGCATTGCATGTAAAATTTATCACCTCCTAAGGAGGTAATTGCTACGTACCATACTGTATTAAAGACTACTCTAATCCTTAATTTATTTGAAGCACAAGAACAAAATCTGCCAAGTGGATTTTCAATACATTTATTTTAAAAATGTATCATTAGAGGCAAATTGCAAACATATAACAGGCCATATATACGGAATCAAGCGAAAAGGAAAGAAAGCAAATGCATATTTAATTTAATCCTCATACCTAATTCTTAAAATTAAACTATGTTTTAGGCCAATATTATTTTATCATATCTTTATGTTTATACATTTTCTAAACTGATGCTTTAATATACCTAAAGAATTATGTGTTTTAAATTCACGGTTAAGGTTCTGAAGCTTGAAGCCTTCATACAAACTTAGGGGGGAGCAGTCTTTAACTCTAGGTTCCATTTTTTGCAAGCAAGGGACTCTTAGCACAACAGTAGTTATCTCCTTTTAGATGTGCTATTTCTTATTTGGAGATATAAAAATAAAGGAGCTGGAGGATGGTGACCTACTGCTCTGATTCAATCACCCTATGCACACATTTGGGCTACAGAGTACTATTAACCACAGTTTTTTTTCACCAGAAGATAGGGAGAAACTTGAGAGCTTGCAAAAAAGCAGTGTAGCCCTACCGCCTTGAGATTCGCTGAGTTTTGGGTCCCCCTAAGGCTCTGCAGAGCCAGGAAACACACGTTTTGTTCCACACTTTGCACACTGGAGTCAGTAAACAGTCCTTGAGCTTGGTCTGTTGTTTTATTAAGGGGATGGTCTATGGGTATATGGGATGCCCAAGGAAACTGTAAACTTGAGGACAACTTAGAGCAACTATGTACAAAAATGTGGACAAAAATTGTTTCTAAGAGCATCCAAAACTCTTTGGTGTACCTCATCAGACCCCAGATGAATCCTCCTCTTCACCCAGCTGCCTGAGTGTATTCCCTGGGCAAGGGGGCCCTAGAACTGCAGACTTAGAACAGTGCCAGATGAGGACTAGTTTTGTATGTCGCCTGACCGCTCGCTCCCCTTTTGTGGCCCATGGGATGTATAGGAATACTCACTCTTTCCCTGTTTGCTTGGTGGGCTGGTGGCTGCTTTCAGGCTTTATGCTGGGCTGGCTCCTTCTCTGCTTCACAGGCCATCCTCCTAAGGAGACAATGGGACAGAGGAGATGCTTCCTTCTAGAGTCCTGCCTGCAGGTGGGATCCCATCTCTGGAGCCCCTCCCAGGCTCCAAACTCCAGCTCCTCACTCCATCTTCTACCCGAAGCTCACTGACTGCTCCCAGGTTCTTTTGATACTTAAGGGTTGCCTTGGTCACCATGCCTAGCCTCCTGCCAGGGGATTGGCCAAGGTTGCTCAAGCATGCAGATTTGAGCTTCCGTCCCTCCTCCAGAAAGCTCTTAGGTTTCTGGAGAGGTGGGGGGGCTCCAGAAGCTTTGACCTTCAGAACCTAATATATAAATTTACATTTGGCAACGTGACCTTATACACTATTTTACCAAACGTATTGGGACACCCATCCAAATAATTGGATTCAGGTGTTCCAATCACCTTCATGGTCACAGGTGTATAAAATCAAGCACCTAAGCATGCAGACTGCTTCTACAAACATTTGTGAAAGAATGGGTCACTCTCAGTTCAGTGAATTAAAGCATAGTACCGTGATAGGTTGTCACCTATGCAATAAGCCCATCGGTGAGATTTTTTTTCTTTGCTACTAAATATTCCACGGTCAACTGTTAGTGGTATTGTAACAAGGTGTAAGCAACTTGGAACAAGAGCAAGTCAGCCATGAAGTGGTAGGGCATGAAACATGACAGCGAGGTCAGCGTATGTTGAAACGCACAGTGCGCAGAAGTCGCCAACTGTCTGCAGTGTCAATAGCTAAAGACCTCCAAACTCCATGTGGCCTTCAGATTATCACAACAACAGATGCAGTGGTGTAAAGCATACTGCCACTGAACTCTAGAGCAGTGGAGACTCCAGAGTGTTCTATGGAGTGACAAATCACACTCCTCTGTCTGGCAATCTAATGGACGTGTCTGGGTTTGGTGGTTGCCAGGAGAACGGTACTTGCCTGATTGCAGTGTAAAGTTTGGTGGAGGGGGGATTATGGTGTGGGGTTGTTTTTCAGGGGTTGGTCTTGGCTCCTTCGTTCCAGTGAAGGGAACTCTTAAGGCGTCAGCATACCAAGACATTTTGGACAATTTCATGCTCCCAACTTTGTGGGAACAGTTTGGGGATGGCCCTTTCTTGTTCCGATATGACTGCGCACCAGTGCACAAAGCAAGGTCCATAAAGACATGGATGTGCAAGTTTGGGGTGGAGGAACTGGACTGGCCCGTACAGAGTCCTGACCTCAATCCAATAAAATGTCTTGGGATTAATTAGAGCAGAGACTGCAAGCCAGGCCTTCTCATCCGACATCAGTGCCTTACCTCACAAATGCACTTCGGGAAGAATGGACAAACATTCCCATAGATATACTCCTAAACCTTGTGGACAGCCTTCCCAGAGGAGTTGAAGCTGTTATAACTGCAAACGGTAGGCCAACTCAATATTTAACACTATGGACTAAGACTGGGATGCCATTAAAGTTCATGTATGTGTAAAGGCAGGTGTCCCAATACTTTTGGTAATATAGTGTATATACAACCTGACTATAGCTGCCTCTAGCTAACAGCAGGCAAAGAAACACATAACAACATATGTACAAGTGCATACCATGAGCATGAAGCATCTCTCCCTTAAGGGAAAGACTTTTGATTTTTGAGCAGAGAAGGCAGCCATCCAGGGGTACCTGCAGAACAGAAACACAAGTGGACATCACATTCCTACATCTAGCTAACTAACTACAACATTTTTACTTTGAGGTACTTCATCAGATGTCCATTTTATTAGAAAAACTTGAGGAGCCCCTCCTAGCAGAGTGGTGAGGCTAGGCGATCTCCTTACATCTTTCCCACAGCTAATACAAAAACATTGGAGTCTGGCCGAATCTGCAAGGACAAGCAGGAACATCAGGAGCCTGCTGGGCAGGAATCCTGCATCAGCCTTCCAGGCAGCTATGGAATAGCTATGGTTAGGCTGGTCAGCCTTGATGACCCACCACCCAGTTTTTGTAGATGGTACAGCCCCTGCTCCACTCCTGCTTGATATCCTAAAATTGATTCCAAGCCTCTTCGACATGAGGCCCTCTCAAAGTCTTGAGGACATGCATATAGTCCCAGACCAAGTAGTCCTCTCACTGTGATCTGGACTCCTCAATGATGTCCATAATGTCCCCTGGGACCTAGAGATAGCCCAGTCCCCACTCAAGAGCCAAAGTCTTCTGCATCACCCTCTGAAACTGGGAGCATCAGGGAAGCAGCTCTTTATCCCCCAATCCCAGAATGTGAAGACCAAAGGATCCATCTCCTAATAGTTGCATTGATTGCCCTGGTCCTAGGCCAAGGTGAGTAAGACTTTGTCTGAGCCCTAGGGGGCATCTGCATAGGCTCAGTCCTTCTAGAATGTCCTGCTTATTCTGGGGTATGGAAACTCTGATGGCCCTGTCAAGGAGTCTAAGTCCTCATTATTCTTCCATCAGTCCCATCCTTCCTCAGTATCATCTGGGGACCATTTTTCCTGCTCAACCTCTAGGGGCCCAAACTCCGCTTACAGTCTGGGTGACTCCCAATCTATCCCCCAACCACTGAAACTCTCCACTGGCTCACCTGAGGACTGGGCATCCTCGCAGATTGGCTCCTTCCAAACAAAACTGTCAAGGTTGGTGGATGAGGCCGCTGGTCCAGAGCATCAGCTGGTTTCAACAGGGCAGCACTTGTGGGCACCAGCCCTCCAGCAGCATCTTTGGCTGGATAATAGGTGATGCCAGGCAGCCATCCTCCATTGCAAGAATCTGCCGTTGGGGCAGGGGAATCACGGTCCCAGGACTCAGCCCCACTTTGTATTCCAAGCTCTGAACATCTTCTGGATCTCCGACTTAGTCTCTCCAGCTTCTCCATACAAAGGCCCATATATAGGTCCAACACTGTAGGTGCCAGGCACCAGGTTGCTGGATATCAGCTTGTTGAGCGGCTCTCCACAGAGCCTGCACTTGATCCATGCTCTGATTAAAGCGGCTGGCTTGCTGCATTCAGTGCAAATCAGACATAGTCTCTCTGCTCCCTCGATCAGCCCGAGAGCAAAGCTTCCGTGATGCTCCAGGCACATAATTCTCGTATCCACCAGGGTGATCTCCAACCAGAAAACTTTTGGAACGATCTGCAGCGCACCCTCCATCTTGCTCCTCTCTCTCAGCATATTGGGTGTACTGGGCGGTCTTGAGGGCATGACCATACCCCTCTCTCAGACATGTTGAGGCGAGACTGTTTTGCAGGATTTTTCCAGCGCTTGTGTTAACCCTTACTGCGCCAAGCGGGATTGTGCTGACTGGTTTTCAGGCTTCTAGAGCACTGAATCCGGGCAGTAACAGAACATTTGGCCCCAGCCATTGTTGGGTGACTGGGTGTTTTGTGTTTGTGGTAGAAATGGCCCACACCGGTTGCTATGAGCAACAGCAAGGAACAGGACACACTCCCCACTGCAAATGATAAAGCACATAAGCACAACATCACTGATTCCAGCTGCTGTGGCACAACTGGACATTTGTAATCCATGCATAAGTAGGCCCATGGATTATTCTGGACGACTGACAGGAGCATGTTGCAGACATTGATTTTTGCAGGTTTTAATATGAGTAATAAAGCACAGGCCTGAGCTGCTATTGGGCAACACAGTGTTTGTAATCCAAAAGGGGCACCGTAGATCGCCATGGTTGCTATGGGCATTGGTGAGCAAAGTAGCGACACAGACTTCACTGTTGTAAGCAAGCAGATAGCAGACAGTCTTTTGCAGAAGCCACCTGAAGAGTAACAAAAAGACTTTTACAGACTGATGAGCCGCTCCAGTTACTCTGGGCAACAGCAAGCAGGGTAACAGCAGACATTTCACTGGCAACAGTAGCTAAATCATGAACATAGTATTTTACACCAGCCACCTGTAGAGTAGCAGGAAGATTTTTGGATGGGCCCGGCATGGTACTTGGCATGGCATTAGCAAAGGTACTTGAATCACAGCAACAGTCACAAATCCAGCAGTACAGCACAACTCCACTTTGCCGCTTGGCTCCGTGACACTTTCAACTGCAGACAACAATTTCCTGACTCTTTGGTTGCCAGTTGTTAGGGGCAACGGGCATGCAGGTTGCAATAGGGACATCCTGGAATTACGAGCCCCCACATGTAGCACTTCTCCCTTAGGACTTGATGAGTTTTGGGTCCCCCTAAAGCTCTGCATAGCCAGGCAACACGTGGTTTCTTCCACACTTTGTACACTGGAGTCAGTAAACAGTCCTTGAGCTTGGTTTTGTTGTTTTATTAAGGAGTTAGGATGGAGTCTAGGTTTATATGGGATGCCCAAGGAAACTGTAAATATGAGGACAACTTAGAGCAACAAAAATATGGACAAAATGGTCTCTCGTCTAAGAGCATCCAAAGCTCTTTGGTGTACCTTCTCAGACCCCAGATGAATTCACCCAGCTGCCTGAGGTTATTCCCTGGGCAAGGGGGCCCAAGAACAGCAAACTTGGAACAGTCCTGGTTGAAGACTAGTTGGGTATTGCACCTGAATACTCTCTCCCCTTATCTGGCCAAAGGGGTGTAGGAGTACTCATTCTGTCTTTCCCCGTTTGCTTGGTGGTGTCAGGAATGGGCTCAGCACAGGTGGTGCTGGGGCTCACCTGCCTTGTGGGCTGCAGTACCAGTGCTGGCCAGCGGGTGCTCTCAGCAGCCAGAATCTCACTCCTGCAATCAAGCCATTACCTGAGGCTGATTGCAGGAGGTGTATTTAAGCAATGGCCAGACCTGCAGTCAGTGCCTTGGTGTTTGTTTCCCATGAGCCCCTGTACCTGGTATTTTGTGTTCCTGCATATCTGCCTATCTGATTTGTTGCTGACCCTACTTTGATCCTGACCTCTGCTGACTTCTCCTGCCCTGATCCCTGGCCTGTCTGACTTCTCTTGGATACCCTCATTGGATCTGATCTCCTGTTACTGACCCGCTATTCTGTGCCTGCTGCCTTGTACCGCGCTGTCCCCACAGTTACCGACCTCGCCTGTCTGACTACGCTTCTGCGCAGCCATCCATCCATCCTGCACGGACCCATCCGCCTCTTCACATCAGGCTCTCCTCCAGAATATACCTCTGGCGGATCCCTCTACCACGGGTGGGTGTACTCCAGGGGCCGTGACCTGGTCTCTGTCTGCTCCAAGTCCATCCCCACCATCAGGGGCCCTGGTGAACAAGCAGACTGGGACTTAGGCTCCGCACTCTGGAGAAACCTATTCCGTGGGTTGCTAGAGGTACCACCAGACGGTGCATTACAGACCCATACGGCCTGCCTGACCATTCCACCTCTCCAACCCTGACCACGCCTGTGTTCCCACACATTTCTGGTCATACCTGGATTCCTGACAGGTGGGTTGGTGGCTGACTTCAGACCTTATGCTGGGCTGGCTTCTTCTCTGCTTCACAGGCCATCCTCCCAAGGAGACAACTTAGAAACTATTTTTGTCCACATTTTTGTACATACAGTAGTTGCTCTAAGAGCATCCAAAACTCTTTGGTATACCTCCTCAGACCCCAGATGAATCCTCCCCTTCACCCAGCTACCTGAGGGTATTCCCTGGGCAAGGAGGGCCCTAGAACTGCAGACTTGGAAGAGTCCCAGATGAAGACTAGTTTGGTATGT